AAAAAAAAAAAACCAATAAATGTGGCGTGAACAAATCAATAAACGAAAGCAACACAGACAAACGAAAAATGAACAAAGGTAATTTTTCGATTGTACAGCGTATTTATAATTTTCACGCAAAGACAGGCATTCTAGCGTCTCAGTTTAGTACTTGCAAGCAGCAATTTCTGGGATTGGAAAAGCTCTCAGCAGTGATGGGTATTGTTGTCATGTTCATGAGGTCATCTAGTAATTTTAGGCAAAACCAGGGCCAGCTTTGGTCTTTGACCAAAATGCATAATTTTTCAGTCCAAAGCCGATCGGACCAAAAATATTCTTGGAAACTCAAATTAATGGGGCAGCTTGAAATGAATTATTGAAGCATCAGTCTTGGAATGGACTGCTTAATTACCTGGTATATCCAGGATCGATAACTCGCCGAATACACTTCCTTCTTTGAGAGTCACAAATACTTTGCTACCATCATCACTTACAACTTCCAGTTGTCCTTTTCTTACAATGTACATCTCCTGAAGGCTTTATTTTTCAGGAATTCCGCAACACAATTGCTAAATCAAAGAACACAGATGCTCTTTTATGCTTCGGGAATGATTAAATTAGGATCTAGGCGATGGCGTACGCTGTGAATTAGGGATCAGCTCTTTTCCTTTCCGCCCTTCTTTCTTTCCGCTCTTCTCGCCCATGCTTTCCTCTCCCCTCATAGCTTAGAGGTAAGATAGTCACTGGGTTGAAAGAAACTTTAAAAATTGGACAAAGATTTTAAAAAATTGAGCAGATCGGGCATAAGTTTAATTAATGCAGAGTCTGGTCAAATCAGCAATGGGAAGAGCAACTGACTAGCTAAAATAGCTAGCTATTTTGCCAGTACTACATCACGAATTACAATTGAATAAAGTATCAAATTAAGCCAAAAAGTTTCTATAAAAAGCAAATAACTGCATTCAAATTCATTACAATTTCTATATTTATAGATACTGTGGTAAGAAAAATAATGCAGAAAAATGCAAAAAAAGTAACCCAGGCTGGAACGCACCGGGCGGGCCCGTGCGATCATGCGTTTTTGCACAGGA